GCTAGAAAAAAATTGAAACGCTGTAAAATGATGGTATTTTCGTTCTCAACTGGAAAAAATCATCCAGCTCATTGCTTTATTTCATTCCACTACTGCCAATGTACTGAGACAGGGTTGCCACCAGCCATGAAAACCTTGAAAAGCGTGAATTATGCGTGAATTTAGGTGACCATGAAAAAGTGTGTGAATTATGCGTGAATTTCGTCATTGGACCATGAATTCTCAAAATCATTATTAATAATTCAGCCAAAACCCCTAAATGTGCTGAATCAAATACTCCGTATTAAAACCATTCTCGAAATGAACACCGAGATAAAACGTCAAAGTGGGAGTGTCGAGATAAAAAGTTTTGTTGCCATGCCACGAACAGAAACGATTGCGTAGTTTATTCAAGGTCAAATCCGATCGTAACCGACGTCAGCCGAGTAGTCTAGAGATGGGAATTATCGTTGTTTTCCGGCAACGGTTATAACGATAACGCAGCTGCCCAATAACGTGTTGCGGCAACCTGTTATTTCAATAACGATTGCCAACTCGTTGCCGCTATAAACCGTTGTCTTGTACGCCGGTCGCCGGTCGGTGTTGCGGCGTTCAGTTATCGTTGTCGGTTGATCAGTTCGGAGTTCAGTTTTCAGTTGTAGTCGGGAGTCGGGCGTTGCCGCGTTGTCCAGACAGGATGCGTTATTCTAGTTCGTTTCAGAAGTTATCGTTGCTCTGGTAGCGTTGCGGCAACGGCACTAATGGCAATGCATGTTTCCGTTGTCCGCGCGGCTTTCCTGCAACATTGTGTAGATAGATACGTTATTATAATAACAGGGAGTTCTCCGCAACGTGTTGCCGCGATAACGTTGCCGTGGCCGCAACACTGTTATTCATCCTGTTATGTTATAACGCCCATCTCTACCGAGTGCCGATCTACCGATAAAATCGATGCTTTCGGAGCTAAAACATCGATCACATCGATGTTTATTCCGAGTTTCTCGTCTGTTCTCTGCACTGTAACAGCCAATTAACCTAAAACCAATACAATTCAGTTACGGAAAACATCAATATTTCATTACTTTTGTTGGCCTAAAAGACCGATGTAACAAACCAAATCATCGGTTCGGTAATCTACCATCGATGTAAACAAACAACTTCGAACATCGATAGAAAAGACATCGATGTTTCGAAAACATCGACAATCGGAATTGATGCTCGCTCTCACTCATTGCATTGACTCATTCTCTACTCTCTCCTCTAGTGTTCGTGTGGAAGGAAATACAGAGTAACCATAACCTAAAAGTTTTAAACTGATCTGAAACTTGTCAAACTTTTGAAGTAGTGGTGGACACTGGACAGTAAGATCACTTTTTGCACTCGTGATTCCGTTTTGTGCTTCTTATAATTGATTACCCAACACTCAGTGGAACAAGTGTTCAGATTAAATATTTTTTATTACTGATATATCATACTTCCGATACTTTACAACGTTAAAATAAGAAGTACCTTCACCTTGCCTTGCCATAAAGGTCAAAATGGCTTACGCCGGCTGGAACCGTCTTCTGTGTTTGTTTGGTCAAATATGTCGTAATTTCAAACTACTGTCAGTGTTGAATAAATGTGTTACGTTACAACGGGAGTTTAAGTTTATTTATTTAGGCCTAAGTTGCAAGAAGTCAATGTTGTGCTGAAAAATGGTGATTTCGTTCTGAGGAAGGTAAATGTAAATGTTTTGTTGGAAGCATAACTAGGTGTTTTCAGTCAATAATGAGACTAATGAGATATTCATGAATGACTGATGAGATATATAATACTAACTAATGAGATGTAAATTTAATTAAATAATTGTTTTAACTGTGATTTAAACCTGTGTAGGCAAATAATAATATATAAACTGATCCAGTCGGAAGAAACATCCTCCTAACTAAGTTTATTTTAACCTTTTCTGTAGGGGAATGTAATTAATTATTTTTTTATTAGGCCTACTTAATGTAAGTTAGCCTATGTCTAAACTTACATACATTCCATAACTTTTGTTTCGTTCTTAGCTTTAACTAAATATTTATTTACATAATCTTACCTTTTTAGAGTGTTTTTATCAGTCAGTCGGTAACCTTTAATCTTCTCAATAAATAAAAGTTGGTTCAGGCCTAACTTAGCCTAGATTCAGCTTTGGATTACAATGTAGGCTAGCCTACTGTGTTACAGTATAAAGTAATAGATTGCATGCGCGTTTTAGTAGGCCTAGATATGGTCCATTACTAAGGTAACCGTTTCTTGGATCATGTTCTTAACATTTGTTTTTATTATGCCTATTATCTTAATTAAATACGTTATGCCTATTATCTTAATTTGATGTTTAGACAGTAAAGTTCTAGGCCATTGCTGGATTAACTAAGTTAAACCTTTTATGTTTGGATGTAATGTTTTTTAGGTTAGGCCTAGACCTAACTACCAATCCGACTTATTTTTTATTTATTATTTCTTCTAACATTTGAATTTATCATTAGGCCTATGATGTTGTTAAATCAGATGTTTAATTTTTTTTTTATAATTACATCGTATTATCACACACAAGATTTTTATTAATATCCTTTTTCATCTGTGATTTTACTTTTTTTAGACTGGATAAATTTTATTAAATTCTTATTTTTCACTGTAAAATAAACGCATGAAATGTGTTTTATTTGATAGTAGCACACAAAACTATATATTGTCGATAAATTAATGTACAATTCTGAACTAGGCAACACTCTTTTATGGTGAAATTGTGCGAGCATATACCCCATGAATTTTTCAAAACTACCAATGAAAACCTTGAATTATGCATGAATTTTTTTATCTCACTTTGGTGGCAACCCTGTGAGAAAAATAATTAATTGAAGGTGCAACGTAATCTACCTCTAGTACAAATGGCGGCCAACTTCTCTCAAAATTCTCCTATAAACACTTAAGTTGGTAGCCAATGGGCCCTCTCTAACACAGCTGATGGCTTTGCAAGGTTGCCAGATCGAACAGCAACGAAGTGATGTTACAGTTTTTCCATATATTAAAAGTGGGAAACGTGTTTAAATGTATAATAATCAATATGAAATAGTTTATTTTCCAGCCCCCAAAAAATTATCGTAAATTATGACAAAAAATCTTACACAACGTCAAAATTATCGTACAATTTTTCAAAATTATTTTTTATGGGGAAGGAGCAAAATAATCGTACAAATACAATAATTATCGTACACCTGGCAACACTGATCGTCGGTATGACTCCGCCGTCACGGCACGATCGTCAAAATGACTTCGCCTCCTGCGTTCGCGGAACATCTCTCACGATAGCGGTGTTATCGTCACTCGCGGTGCGGCAAAATCGCCGATGATCGGACCAAATCCGGTCCCGAAAAATTCCCGAATCAAATGTAATCCCGTCCCAAAAATCGGGAATATTTGTTTCCCGTAAATTTCCCAAAATTTTGGGACCCGTCCATCCCTATCCATTACCATCACTACTTCAACTCGGTAGCAGTCAAGAAGCAACTGAACGATTGTGCAACAATCGCACCGGTGACAATGCCTTATGCAACGATTATTGCCGAGCGATAATCGTGCAACGATGGTCGTCCAACGATGGTCGTCCAACGACTGCAGTTCCAGCTGCACCAGTTACAATGCACCTTTTAACTCAACAAAACTTGATAATCCCTACAGCAATGATTCACGCAAGGAAAAATCAGACAGTCTACTAAGCTAATGATAGGCTACCGGTAAAAGCTGTTTCAGAACAGTGAAATAACATATAATAATACGGGAATCACCTAGCATTGATTTAGAAACAGTAGGCCTATTGATATCGGAGGCAATAAAACATTATATCTTATCTTAAAATCTTACTAATACTAGCTGTTACCCACGGGCTACACCCCGTTTGACTTCATAAGTATTAATAAAACTATTGATTCGTTAAGCTAAGCTGAAATAAACAAAACAGAATACAGTAATACAACAAATAATCACACCTGATTTTAATAAGGTAATAAATTAAAAGAGTAACATACAATTAAGTACAGCTGAGATATTTTTAACATTAGGTATATGGAAACCCTTTGCAAAGCAATTACGACCTTACAGGGCAATTTATGAAATAATGGATAGGCTAGTTATGCGCAAGGTTTCTCATCATGATGAACATTTTAAGTACGGTATATGGTTTATGGGGTTGTGACTTGTAGTTTTCTCAAAAGTTCATACTTTGGTACTTTGGGCTTTTATATCTTACTAATATTATAAATGTGAAAGTTTGTGTATTTGTTTGTTTGAAGTTTAATCACGCATTAACTAAAGGACGGATTGGGCTGTAAAATTTTGCTTCATCAGACATTATTAACAGGTCCGAAAAATTTAGCACTTTTTTGATTGTCAGTATTTGATCACAGAACATTACTCTTCGATTGTAGTCTGGTGCTTTAAGTTCTTGCACATTTTGAATCTTGTAAGGATAGAAATGAATATGTTGATGCAAAATTCTTTGTAGAGATCTGTTGGAAATCAAAGTACTAACGCTTATTTCCTGGCGAACCTCTTTGGACTTTGGGTTACAGCGACTCACACTCTTTCCACATTGGCTGGTGTACGTACAGTCTTGCGGCTTCCACCAATTTTTTTGTGTTGACGCCGTACTTTTAAATAATTTTACCCAGTTCCCTACAGTTTTCCAATCTGGAACAACACCATGTCGTTCAAAGTTGAAATGTTCTAAACAATTTTAGAGTTTTTTTTAAAAGAATCACTATTATTCAAAAAAAGTTTCCACAGCAAAAGTTTAGGACTCCAAAGTGTCATGTTTATTATAATGGCATAGTTCAATAAATTGTGGTTATAAGAACAGCTGATCAATCATTGTTGCAACAACTAACATGTGTCAGCTAAAACAAATTGTGGCGTTCTCATTGCCTCACCATGCATGATATTAATATTTTTAATATATCAAGTATCTTCTTCTAATCTCAAATGGTTTTAACTTTCAGAATGGTCCACAAGTCCAGAGAAACCCAAGAAAGAAAAAAGAAAATCTGATGCACCGCCTGGTATACCTGCAAAAAAGAAAAAGACCCTAGCTCGTAAGTTTTGATATTCAATTCAAATAAAATTATCTTTATTTAATCTCAGTATAAATCATTCAAAGAATAGTGTAAAATAAATGTAAAGATGTATTATTATGTGTGGTGAGTGCACCTGACTGTTCACAACCAGCTGGACAATGATTTGTTTTTTTTAGTGATGGGCGGATCCAAGAAAATGTCAGTACCGGATCCGGATCTTGAAAAATTCGGATCCGGATCTTCGGATCTTCGGATCCGGATCAAGATACACACTGTCATAAGGGCGGGTTAAGAAAAAAACGTAATTAACAGAATGCCAATTTAAATCATACTTTTATTATTTTTTATCACGAAGCATCGGGTGTGATTAAAATATTAACGGGATATTTTTGAGACGAAATTATAGGCTGTTAGCTTATCATCCAGGTACAAAACTAAAAACTAGAAGTGTGAAGATATCCGAAAAATCGGGTCGGATTCAGTTCGGAAAGATACATGCCATTGCCATATATGTTATTTATTTGTATCAAGAGACAAACACTGAAACATGGCCTTGCCATATAAGTTATTTGCACCAAGAGACAAACACAAAGACATGACCTTGCCATATAAGTTATTTGAATTAAGAGACAAACACTGAGACATGGCCTTGCCATATAAGTTATTTGCATCAAAAGACAAACACTGAGTCATAACCTTGCCATATAAGTTATTTGCATCAAGAGACAAATACTGAGTCATGGCCTTGCCATATAAGTTATTTGCATCAAAAGACAAACTATGAGACATGGCCTTGCCATATAAGTTATTTGCATCAAGAGACAAACGCTGAGACATGGCCTTGCCATATAAGTTATTTGCATCAAGAGGCAAACATTAAGACATGGCCTTGCCATACAAGTTATTTGCTTCTAGATACAAACATCGAGACATGGCCTTGCCATATAAGTTGTTTGCATCAAGAGACAAACACTTGGGGAAAAAACGGTCCTGTACATAGATACAGACAGCTTTGTGTTAGTAAAAAAAATCAGGAAAAAATCGGGGTTGTACAGTGATACAGATAGCTTTGTGCTAGTAAAAACATTCGGGGTTGTACAGTGATACAGATAGCTTTGTGTTTAGTAAACAAATCGGGGTTGTACAGTGATACAGACAGCTTTGTGCTAGTAAAAAAATCGGTGTTGTACAGTGATACAGACAGCTTTGTGTTGGTAAAGAAATCGGGGTTGTAGAGGGATACAGACAGCTTTTTGTGTTAGTAAAAAATCAGGGTTGTACAGTGATACAGACAGCTATGTGTTAGTAAAAAAATCGGTGTTGTACATTGATAAAGACAGCTTTGTGTTTAGTAATCAAATCGGTGTTGTACAGTGATACAGACAGCTTTGTGTTGGTAAAAACTCGGGGTTGCACAGTGATACAGACAGCTTTTTGTCTTAGTAAAAAATCGGGGTTGTACAGTGATACAGACAGCTTTTTGTCTTAGTAAAAAATCGGGGTTGTACAGTGATACAGACAGCTTTGTGTTAGTTAAAAATTCGGTGTTGTACAGTGATACAGTCAGCTTTGTGTTGGTAAAAAATCGGGGTTGTACAGTGATACAAACAGCTTTTTGTGTTAGTTAAAAAATCGGTGTTGTACAATGATAAAGACAGCTTTGTGTTAGTAAAAAAATCGGTGTTGTACAGTGATACAGACAGCTTTGTGTTAGTAAAAAATCGGTGTTGTACAGTGATACAGACAGCTTTGTGTTGGTAAAAAAATCGGGGTTGTACAGTGATACAGACAGCTTTGTGTTAGGAAAAAATCGGGAAAAAATTTGAAAAAATTGGATCCATCAAAACCGGATCCAGCCCAAAATCCGGATTTTTTTGGATCCGATCCGGTGCCGGTTCTAGCTCGGATCCCGCGGATCCGGTAGTCCGATATCCGGATCCGACCATCACTAGTTTTTTTTAAATAGTTTAAATTAGAGGTGGGCCGATACCGATACCCGATACCAAAATACTCTCGGTACCAGCGGTATCGAGGTATCGTCGATACTCGATACTTGCCTGTTTTGGGTTCGATACCGATACTGACACTGAACCACTGAATGCTACGAATCGGTGCGGATTAACCCTAGCAGTGGCCAACCGTCGCCTGGTGACGGTATGACGTTGATGCTTAGAATGGCCAATGTCGTCTGGTGACGGTATGGGCCGAAATTTTTTTAACGGTAAAAAAACACTTACAATCAACTCAGATGAGAATAATATATATACCATTCGAAAGATCACATTCTGAACTTTCATTTGATTACATAAACAAACCCTGTAGCAGGTATATAACAATGTCACGACGATTAGAAATCAAATGAAATTTTGGCACGGTACGACTTTTGCAGCCGACACTTGGGAACTGGCAAAACACGTCTTGTTTGGCATTACCCTGCTCGGGTAATTTTCGTCTTGGGATTTTGCGGGTGGTACCACTGGATAGCCATTGATTTTATCTTCATTGTGGTAGTGATATTTATAACTAAATATTGATTGCACAATCGGTACGATTTTATGAAAACAGCTGTTTTCGAAATTTCTAACAAATGGCCAACAGTCGTCTGGTGACAGTATGGAAAATACGAATTATATACAGTGAAAGTTATTATTACTAGTCATATAGTATATCATTTTGAAGAGGAAGAAATTTAGATTCAGAGAGTGGCAGCCCTGCACTCAGGGTTATTTCTGTATGCTCGCATGTAGACGACAAGTGAGTCATTAGTGACTGCTTGCTACAGTCTGTCAGCTGTCTTGTATTGCCATTGTTTGTTTGTTTGTTTGTGTTGTTGCCGGTAATAGTTTTATCCGCGATTTATTACTAAATATGTTATTAGTTCGTAGTGTTAGTGTTAGTGAAGTGTTGTGTGTGTGTATAACAGTAATCTTCATGCATAAATATTACTGAATTGTGTGAAATAGTGTTCATAAAAGGTTGTATTTTGTTAGCATCATGTCCTAAAATGACGATTCTGACATTCAGAGATTGTTGTACCTATATAATGATATACCCAAGGTGTTATACATTTTTATAAAGGTAAATGAATACACTACAACATGTTTATAATGGTTTGGGGGTAAAAAATTTTGTAAAAAAGTTATAGCCTATACTAAATAGGCCTACTACTGTATTTTGTTAGCATCATGTTCAAAAATGACGATTCTGACATTCAGAGGTGCTATATATGCTATATAATGATTTACCCAAGGTGTTATACATTTTTATAAAGGTAAATGAATACACTACAACATGTTTATATTGGTTTGGGTGTAAAAAATTTGGTAAAAAAATTATATAGGCTACTAAATACTGTACACTCCATTTTCTCGAAATGCGCAAAAAATTCAAAACGTTTTCAAATTGATACATAATCATAGGTGAAAATAACTTTTTACCATCATACTTATGACTTTTTTGGATTCCTTACTTCATTAGCTTTACAAATATGTAGGCTACATATCATCAGCCTACATAATGTTTCACAACACAAGCAAACACTGTAGGCTATAGTTTACACTTATTTGCGGTTTTGCGGTTATTGTATTATTATGTCCCTATTACGTACCTACAAAAAAAATATTTCTAACATGTTATACATTTTTATGTAGGTAATTGAATACACTACAAGATTATTATGTTGGTTTGAAGTAAACAAATTTGGTACAAAAGTTGTATACTAAGTACTGTGAGTTTTTTTCTCGAGAAATCGCTAAAATATAAAAACATTATTTTATATACGTATGTTTATAGGTAACAAATTATTTTTACCATAAACTTTATGACTTTTTTGGATTCCTTACTTCATTAGCTTTACAAATATGTAGGCTACATATCATCAGCCTACATAATGTTTCACAACACAAGCAAACACTGTAGGCTATAGTTTACACTTATTTGCGGTTTTGCGGTTATTGTATTATTATGTCCCTATTACGTACCTACAAAAAAAAATATTTCTAACATGTTATACATTTTTATGTAGGTATTTGAATACACTACAAGATTATTATGTCGGTTTGAAGTAAACAAATTTGGTACTAAAGTTGTATACTAAGTACTGTGAATTTTTTTCTCGAGAAATCGCTAAAATATAAAAACATTATTTTATATACGTATGTTTATAGGTAAAAAATTATTTTTACCATAAACTTTATGACTTTTTTTGATTCCTTACTTCATTAGCTTTACAAACATGTATATATCATTATTAGTATACACATATATTATAGAACTTTTTACAACATAAACTAACACTGCACGGCTTTCAATTTTTTCGATTCTCCGTTTGTCATTATATTTCGCCCCAAAAACTTATAAAAAAAAATATTTTCCTAACATGTTATATATTTCTATGTAGGGAATTAGATTGTCTACAAAATGTATATAATGAATTTCCCATAAAAAAATCCGTAGAAAAAAAATGCAGAGGCCGCTTTTGAAATTTAAAAAAAAAATTCAATTTTTTTATATTTTTTTCACTTTACCGATAAAATACACTGTCTAAATCATTATGATATTACTATTTCTAGATTCTCCTGTTCTTTCCGAACAAAATGAATATGAGGTTGGCTAGGTTTACTTGTACGGTTGAATTTTTACGAATTTTCAAAAAATGGTCTGCAAAATCGCCAAAATGGGTTGGCCATTCCCCACTTCTAACATTGGCCACTGCTAGGGTTAAGTCAGTTCAGTCAGAGCGGGCGAATTGTCGTTGCCATTACGAATCCTAGCCGTTTCTCGTTTGCCTAAAAAATCTGTGGTTGAGTTGTCTGCCTTCATCCACTCAAGCTATTTTAGCAACACAAAAGTCGTCTGAGCTTGATGCACTAGCCGAGTTGGCTGACGTCGTGCTTGAAATTAGCCTGCGTCATCAAGTTACAGAAGCAGCTATCCCTACTAATAGTCCCAACTCCATGGAAGCAATGATGGAGCGACTGACAATCCTGATGACATCTAAAATGGGTGAAATCGTAAGC